CAATCATTAAAAAAAAAAACTATCTTGCCTCATTAGGTGCGAGGGCTGGCGGTGGCACTGACCAATAAGATTATGTGATCGAGAGAGAATGAAATAATAACGTATTTTGTCTTGCAGTTGTTGTATTGGTGATGAAAAAGAATATTTAAGTTTATTTTGGAATTATAAATAATGATATATATATATATATATATATATATATATATTTTTTTTTAAGGGGCACCTATAAAACTAACTTGCTGTGGTGTCCCTTTTGATATTCATTTACTTTTTTTTTCTTTTTTTGTACTATCTATTAAGTTTCTTTTTCTTTTTTATTGTTTTTGAATGAAGAAGCACTCAAAAAGTGCGTTTACTTCTTGAAAATTAAGTTTATTTCTTTGGTTATGTTCATTTGATTTTGTAACTGAATATCAATAAATGGTTTATTATTATTATTAACCGTAGAAATAATGTCGAGAGGTAGATGGGTCACCACTAAGTTATATTTTGTTTTGTCATTCGAAATTCGAGAAAGATCAAATTGTGCCTCAATCTGCCTGAACCAACCTTCCGGTCTACTTGTCCAAAAAGGGGGTAATTTAATGCGGGTCAAATCTGCATTTCCCATTTTTAAAGAAATTTAGAAAAGAATTAATGGATTACTAATTATGTCATTTTAAAAGAAATTTATAAAGATGTTTTTACTGTTTACTGGCATGCTATTTCGGAAAGGAAACACTCAGGAATATGTACTTACTCAGCTTAGCTTTCCTATGAGTTTCAAAAAGGTTAAAAATAAAAGTGAGGATTTTCAATTGTTTTCTGTTGTCCGTTGATATAAATTTTGACTTCGAAGTTCTGGGCTGGTACTCTGTCGCAAGGGTCGGAGTCGTATGGCGTACCAAAGATTGGGATTCTTATGTTACTGCAAAGTAAGGTGTGGGTTGGGCCGGTACGATGTAGCAAGGGCTGGTATAATATGGTACAGCGCTTCTTCTTTTTATGAAGTTTTTCGTTGTGTGTTTAATCGGGGTCACCAATGTAGAGGTCACCAATTAATTTTAAATAATATTTCTAACTCTTACAATGAAATAAACACGTATTGAGTGTGCGATGTTTTTTTAATATTTATATATAAGGAAGAAAAAAAGCACGTAGAAACAGCCTCGTAACGTGGTCAAGTGTGTCAAAAGACAAGGGGGAAAGGATTAAGCGGCGGATGTCAAAAGAACAAAATACAAAAGATAAATAAAACGTTGAATTAATTGTTGACAATACTTCAATTTATTTTCTTTTAGACACAAATCAAATATTAAACAAAAAAAAATTGTAAATAATTCTATCTAGTACTAACATAATTTTTTTTTTATTCCCCCCTTTAATTAAGATGTTGGTTACGCATTACCAACAACTTATTTAAAAAAAAAAACAGAAATATTTTTATCATCCAAGTGTCAATTAACAATTTTATCAAAAATCCAATACATAACTAAACATCAAAGTAAACTTAACTCTATTACTAAAAGAAATTTAAATATTTTTTTTTATAAAAAGCTCCAGTGAAATTATCATAAAAATTCTTATGTAAACACACTTGATCTTGTTATTACGAATTCTGCCGATGTACATCAATTATCTCTTTGTAGTAATCCATTGCTTCCTGAGGACAGTGCGCACTCCACTCTAAAGTTTTCCTGCTCAATTTCATTTACTCGTTCATTACCTATACCATGATGATGCTTTTTAGAAAAGCCCGGTTTCGTGAATTGAATGAGTACTTTAATGGAATTGACTGGGAATCAGAGCTCGCTGGTCATGATATCAATGACGCTGTTCAAATTTTTTATAACTATGTTAATACTGCTATTCGCGAATTTGTCCCTTTAAAACGCAAAGCTATCAAGGGTTTTCCCGGTTGGTTTTCATACAGTACCATTAAAGTAATTCGAGAGAAAAGGAGGGCGCACTGTAGATGGAAGCGTTTTAGAAACCGACTTGACTACCTCACTTTTTCAATTCTAAGGAGTCGTGCAAAGTATCTAATCCATCATAATTACATGGAGTATGTTAGAAGAGCTGAAAGTAATATGCAATCTGATCCAAAGGTGTTTTGGGCTTTTACTAAGTCTAAGAAGCGTGCGGATGTCATTCCTTCTACGATGTCATGGAATGGAACTGTTGTCGGCGATGGTGTCGGAGTATGCTCATTGTTTGCTGATTTCTTTTCTTCGGTTTTTGTGGATCCTGCTCCAATCCAGCAGAATATAGATTGTATAGAAATGGATACCCTTCCTTTGAGTCAGATGCAGTTTGACAGAATTGAGGTTGNAATGGAACTGTTGTCGGCGATGGTGTCGGAGTATGCTCATTGTTTGCTGATTTCTTTTCTTCGGTTTTTGTGGATCCTGCTCCAATCCAGCAGAATATAGATTGTATAGAAATGGATACCCTTCCTTTGAGTCAGATGCAGTTTGACAGAATTGAGGTTGAGGAGGCTCTGATGGGCATCAGGGTTACAGACAGTATGGGTACTGATGGTATTTCATCAATTTTAATCAAGGAATGTTCACACTCTCTGTCCCTTCCTTTAACTATTTTATTTAATACTTCATTGATAATGGGTGTCTTTCCTTTATTGTGGAAGCGGGCTTTTGTTCTTCCCGTTTTTAAATCTGGGGACCGTGGTGCCATATCCGATTACCGCCCCATATCTATTTTGCCAGCATTTGGGAAAGTGTTTGAGAAAGTAGTTCATGCACGTCTATTCTTTGCCCTTAAGTCTAAAATCAATTCTAGACAACATGGTTTTTTTGCTGGTCGCTCGGTGGAGAGTAACTTGCTTGAATATACCCAGTATATCTTATCTACTCTGGATGATTCTTGTCAGGTTGATTCAGTTTATACGGATTTTAGTAAAGCTTTCGACCGGGTGGATCACAACTTACTTCTGTTCAAACTAAAGAAGTTTGGTGTTCAGGGAAATCTTTTGCAATGGCTTGCTTCCTATCTGAAGGAGAGATGCCAGATTGTTTCGGTTAATGGTTTTTTCTCTAATCCTGTGTCGGTTCCTTCTGGTGTTCCACAGGGTAGCCATCTGGGCCCTTTACTGTTTAATATTTATGTTAACGACATATTTGACGTCGTTAATTATGCCCAATGTTTAATGTATGCTGACGATTTAAAACTCTTTCTCCGTATCTCCTCACCTCTTGATTGTTCTAAACTGCAATCTGACTTAAACAATCTACATGCTTTTTGCTTAAATAATCGCCTTTCATTAAACTTATCAAAGTGTAATGTTATTTCCTTCTCTAGGAGGGTGAACACAATCCACTACAATTATAGCGTCGCTGGTGAGAGGTTGCAACGTGTCTCATTTATTAGAGATTTGGGTGTTACATTTGATTATAAATTATTATTTGATAAACATATCGATACTGTTGTCTCCAAAGCCTGGCGTATGTTAGGATTTATTATGAGATCAACGGTAGCTTTTTCAAACATTGCTGCAATTAGAAATCTCTATTTTGCCTATGTTTACAGCACACTTAACTTCTGCAGCGTCGTTTGGAATCCTCAGTATCTCTCGTATAAATCTAGAATTGAGCGTATTCAATCTAAATTCCTCAAATACCTTTGTTTTAAATTTTCCATTCAATACATTGATTACGAATCAACTTGCACTTCTTTTCGTATGTTAACCCTCAACCAGCGTCGCTTTTGTGGGGATATATTATATTTTTACAAACTTTTGAACAACAAGTGTGATTCTCCAATGCTTGTTGGTTCTATATGTGTTCACGTTCCTCCGAGATTACTTCGCTTTGATTTTCTATTTATGACACCTACTCCTAGAACCAATGCCTGTCAAAACTCTCCTTTATTGAGAATGGCAAGATCGGCAAATCGTGTTAACATAGATCTGTTTCAGTATTCTTTCTATGCATTTAGAAAACTGCTCTTTGCTGCAGTTGGTGTGTTGCCTCGAACGTTCATTTGATATTGGATATATGATATATTTATATCACCTAAACTTAGTTTTAGTTTTTTTTCCTTTTGAATCAGTTTTGTACCATTAATGTTAATTCATTATTATTATTGTTGTGAACTGTAATTCTATTTTATTTGTATACAATTGGTTGTTTGTGGTACAGTATTATTGGGTTCGACCTGTTTCTGTACCCACATGAAATAAATAAATAAATAAAAGTATATATATGTTTATAAAACTAATTCTTTAAATACTCATCAACATAGTCGCCCTGCCATCAATTAACGAATTTAATCTGTACGTTATCAATACTCGTTTAAGTTTTTACCCAAGCAATATATCGATCTATCTATATTCAAGATTTTTTTTCCATTGTAGAGCATCATCGTTACTATTGGTGTTAACTGGCTGTGTCAACTACAGTTGGCACTCAATTTTCACTTTTCTTCATAACATATACTTACAAATGTATATATTGTTTTGTTTGTTTTTTTTTTCTTTTCTTTACTTCTTAATATATATGTATTCTTTCCCTTTTTTCTTTCTTTCGAAGTTTTGTAGTAGTTTTTCTTTCTCTTTCTTTACTTGCTAGATTGTATCGATTTCCATACAACATGCCCATTCCAAGGAAAGGAAGGCGTTTCCTTTTCATTTCCTTACCAGCTTTTTTTTTTCTTTTTCCGAGAATTATTTTGATAAGATATATTGCGTTATTCAATATGCAAAGCTTTGTTTAAATCAAAACTTTTCGTTCATAAATTTAAAAATTTTTAACAACTCAAAAAAGCAATGCAAAACTTATTACCTCCACATGGTGATGAGTATCAAACTTACTTAACTTTCTCTTAATAAATTATTATTATTTTTTTTTTACAACCATAACTTCCTAACCTAATTACAGACAATAAGATTGTCTTTGTGTTACAAAATCATAAGGATATATTTAGTCGAAAATTCTATTCACTTTACTGCTCAGGGGTGCTGTAGGTTGAACAAAGTGACCATCTTGTACTCGTGCAGAATCTTCCTAGTTCTCTGGATCTGATACTTTGTGATTATAACTTCGATGTACGTTATGTAAAAACCATGAAGTTAAAGTCGTCCAAAAACTGGCAATAATCGAAAATCCGCATCCCAGAGCCTGGTATAAAACAAAACCATTTAAAATTACTGAACAAATATATTTTAGGATGATAAATGCTATGTATATTCCCATAAATCCTGACATAAAAATCCCAATATCGGTAAACCAACCCCAAGCATAACTTAGTGTCGACTTAGCGATTCGTTTAATTCCTTTTGAATTAAATAATTTTGTTGTGTCGTACTGGTTTGAATCATCAGTTCTACCTGCAACCCGATTGACTAAAAATGAGGTAATTGCATCACGCTCGGATCCAAACAGAAAATTATGTTGAATCTTATCAATTTCATTTTGAGTATACAATCCTCCACTTCCCAAATTTCGATTTTACATTATTTTCGTCGTTAATTTCTAAAGAAGCTAGAAAACTGTACACTGTAGAATATGGACTTAATCCTACCCATCGGTTCTCTATGTAAAATAGTGAAGGAGCTACGGGAGAGCACATTATCTCTTCGGCATACTCTTGCACTACATGTGTGATTGGTGCCATAAATAATGACTCATTGTTATTAACCAGTATCGGCAATTCATTATAGCATTTATCAACCCTTCGCACTTCTGCGATTATTGGTTCACAGTTAATGATGTATAAAACTTCCCCTAAAACCCTTCCCATATACCCCAGAGAAGTCTTGAAAATACTGGCAATAGCATTTGTATTTAAAGGTGCCATCAACAATCTATTTCTCAATACTTCTCTCTTTATTAAACATCTTCGATATACTGCTTAAACATGTAACTTTCTAAACAGTAATTTTGACGAAATTTCAATATACATAAATTTTGAATTAACATACATATGTCAACAGATTTAAATGATTGACGTCATGAGTTTTAGAATTTAAATGATAAAAAGCATTTTTAGATTTGGTAACTAGTAATCGAGGATGTTCGGTAACCCAAACCTACAATACCCTTCCTTAGTAGATTTAATGCAAAGATGTATTCGTCTTGCTCAACAACCAAATAATTTTCAACTGTGTCCTGACTACTTACTGAAACTTCTGTTCCAATACCTTCATATATAATTGAATATTGCCGTTTCTTACATGCTCCTTGTTCTATTTCATCCCAAATAGTTTCACCTGCTTCAACATCCATACAATATCCTATGACGCCAAATGCGTTAAAAAGATTTTAAATCAAAACAAAAAAAAATTAACGAAATTATCAACAAGGACTAAACTAGTTTTATCACCCTGAGATGTACGCGAGTCCTCGACCGGCTCAGTGAAGAAGGGAGGGGTATTTATATGGCGCCACACAGTTAACCCCGCGTACAACACGAACTGTGACGTGAGATGATGGAGTATGGTGATATAAACAAATAACACAACAAAACATAAACGCTCAACAAAATAGGTTTTGAGTTGCAGACAAAATTTATTAAAACTCCCGTAAATAACAGGTAAGTAAAAAAAAATAAACTAATAACAAAATTATAAAACCGTAAACTTTTAGGTTCAAACAACAAAAAAAAACTATATTGATGTTTGCGAGCTTTAAAAAAAAGAAAGTCAAAACTGAAAGGAAATTTAAATCAAAATACCAAAAAAATGAAAATGAAAAATTAACCCGCGTCTGACTCCGTATGGTTGAGCTCAACGTGAAATCAAAAATTATAAAAAAAAAATCAACGCCAAAAATAGAATTAAAAAAAAAATCGCCAAACAAGAATATACAAAAAAAATGAAATGATATTTAAAAAAAATTGAAAAAGTTTGATTTTCCAAAGATTAATTAATTTAAAGATTTTCTTAAGGAAAATCAAAAAAAATTAAAAAATATATGATACAAATTCTTCAATGACCAAAATAATAGTATGTTGTTCTATCTGACCTTTACTCCAAGTCTTGATCACCGGTCCGATTCGAAATAAATCCTCAGCAACAAATTCTGGTGACTCAGGAAAGGTAAGGTAATATTCTTTGTTTTGTTCCAAAA